TCAATAGCAAGACTTAAAGCAAGCCGCTGTGGAACTGACAAAGCTCACAACTGTGAGAAGTTTTTCCTGGAGAGTATGAAGACTGCACAGTTTATGTGCTTATCTAAGAAAGGTTATCTGCATAATAAAAAAATTACATTGTGGTGCGTTGTGAGGACCTCACTATGTATTGCATAGTCATCCGGCACATTTATGAGGGGCGTTCAAGTCGAAAGGCTGCATCACATTTACGCAGTTGAGAAAAGCGTTATATACACTGTTTGAGAACATCTGGGTAATCGTGATATGTGTTTTAGCAACTGGCAGAGTAATGGAGTAATCAATCAAGCTATTCTATTCGTGGACTTGTTTACACAGCTCATAATGAGTGTGACGTTGAACTTTGAAAGGTCGGTAGGCGTGGATGCCATCATAATACAATGACTTGCGTGTCTAGAAATTTTTATGGAAAAGTACTATCCTAGCTCACGAATCTGAAACAACGAAACCCTTGAGGTGTTTGTGACGAATTTCAATTTCTAGAAATCAGCGAAAAATTTTTATGGAAAAGTACTATCCTAGCCCACGAATCTGAAACAAACGAAATCCTTGAGGTGTTTGTGACGAATTTCAATTTCTAGAAATTAGCGAAAAACAAGAATGTCTCGTGATCACGCGTGACCTCGACCCCGCACCTTATGGCCAATTTCACTAATCTGAGCCAGCCGTTATATATGAGCATTTTCTACCATTTGGGAACAACGCGTTTTTGCATTTCCTCAAATTTTGGTAATCATCCGACAGGTCAAATCTTAGCAATTTTGAAGCTGTACTTCAATTTTGAAAAGGCCTTCCTATTACGCTGTGGCAGTAAGATTCCATTCATGTTTCACTAAATTTATGCTAACGATGACTACCAAAACTCTCAGCTCGAGCAAGAAAGGCGCTGTTCTCAAAGGGTTGCAAATGCGCATAGATGACGGAGAGGTATCCAACTGTATAAAAGCAAGCACTTAGGAAAAAAAAAACAGCGATTATTCATCAATGTCAAGGTTAAATGGAAGAGGGTCTCAGTGATCACTGGGCAAGATGCAGTAGCATAGCTGACAGAACATCGGCCAGAAATAGTTATCGCAGCTTTGGTAATTGGAATGAAACTTAATGAAATTGTAAATTTTCAGGTCTTATGGAAAGGTCTGGCACCAGACTGGTCTCGGACTTGTTTGGGAGGATGAGTAGCACTGACTCGGTTCAGCGGGAGGCCACTGCGAGTCATTGTAAAGGCCAGGCATGCATTTCACCTCAAAGGAAGTTAAAAATTTGAGACGAATTTATGGCGCATCCATCAGAGATTGACAAACGCCAAGAGCTTTATCCTTTTATCCTTTATGGAAATGCTATAATATTAGTTTGGAAAAAAATTTCTGGGGCACTTGCAAAGAATTGAAAAATTAGGCATGATATCCCAAACGAAAACAATAATCACTTTTCCTCAAAATGAAGGCTGTCGTCTTCTACGACTTTCTGACATCGGCCCGGAAAGTTTCGGATCTGGGTGGACACTGCTTCATCGACTGCAGCTTATTGCTAAAGACCTTTTCTCTGATAGTGATGCAATAAAACACGAACTTCGACTGTATAATTGGACATGGCGGAGGCTTGTAACAAAGTGAAAACTAACGATGAATAATATCTTTACCTTCACTGGGGAAATCCCACATAAGAAACTGTAATATTCCCATGATATGCATGGGAGTTATCTCATGTTTATTAGAGTGCCCCAGAACTTGGTTCCAACCTAGTAAATATACGAACATATAGCGTTACGTCACAGTATAAAAGGATAAAGGATGAAGCTCTTGGGGTTGATCAATCCCTGAGGGAAGCGCCATGCATTTGACTTCAATTTTTTACTTCGTTTGAGGTGATTAAATGCACATCTGGCCCTATACAATGACTCGCGGTGGCCTCCCCTGAACCGAGTCAGTGCTGCTTATCCTTCCAGACAAGTCTGAGACCTGTCTGGTACCAATTACCGACCCCGGAGGGATGAATGGCTTGGTGAGCCATGAGCGCGAGATCGAACCAGTGACCTCGTGTGCGACGCAGGGCACCTCTAACCACTGCGCCACATGCGCTCTTGTCACAGTATATAGTCGTTTAAATAAAGCTACAACGAATAATACGTTCAGGCTCTGAAGAAGGCGTATTTGTCGAAACGTCAGCCACAAGTAATCGCGAAAAACCCATTGACCGGAAAGAAGAGTAATCAATTGAGAAAAGATACCAACCTCGTGAAGCTTTGAATTAAGGTTAGTTTTCTAAGCTTTTCTTCTCATAAGCGTTATAGTTCAGAATGCTGCACAAAAGCAGCACCAGACAAACTTTTAGCGATATAGTGACGACATTCAAATTGGTGGGACACTTTAATCACGTAGGCCTGATTATGGTGATTACCAAATAATTCGCTCGCACAGATATGAAGACGATTCTGGTTGAATTGTCATGCCTAATACTAAAATGAACAAAAGTCATAGACTTATGTAATGACAGGAATTCCTTTCATTTAACCGCATTCTAGCGATGTTATGATGTTACAGATATAGACAATGATATTGAACTATGTGCAAAATCGACGTCAGTCGGGACTCGAACCCGCATTTCACCCTTTCCAGGGCGCGGCCTTAACCAGTTGCACTACCGACGCATGTTTTCCACCACTCTTTTTACGCTATCACTCAACATCATTGAGTTATGGACTCAATGTTAACATGAGATAATTTACAACAAATTAATGCTGTCAATTAGAGAAGAAAGTATGGATTTGGTATTGTTCTTGAAAAGCGAAAAACTAGGTTGTCATAACGGACGAAAGATAGAGCGCTCGGCATTGATCAATCCCTGAGAGATGCGCCATGCACTCAACTTCAATTTTAACTTCGTCTGAGGTGATTGAATGCATCTCTGGCCTTTACAGTGACTCGCGGTGGCCTCCAGCTATCCTGAGTCAGTGCTGCTTAACCTCCTGACAAGTCTGAGACCAGTGTGGTACCCATTTAGCTATCCCGGAGGGATGGATGGCTTGGTGAGTCATGAGCGCGAGATCGAACCACTGACCTCATGTGCGATACAGAGCACCTCTAACCACCGTGTCATATGCGCTCCGAGGTAGTCGTAGTGTAAGCTATTTGAATAACTGAAGGTATTTTTTCTCTGCCGAAGTAATGGAGGTATTTGGCTGACTGGCTTGTAGACAACATGATTTTTCTAGACCCCTAAAGAAGGCAAAAACAGACGAAACGTCAGCTGTGCGAATGAATTTCACTAATAACAACCTCGTGTTTGGCTTAGAAAGAAAAAATTACAAATTATGGAGCAATGCTGGAGTTGTTATATAGTCGATCTTGAAAATGAATCGAATCCAATAAAACGACTATTTGCCCAAAATCATTTTATTTGACCGCCTATTGCGGTGTTATGATGTTTCTATGAACCCAATGATGTGGAGTGGTGTGCAAAAACGTTTGCGTCAGCCGGGATTTGAACCCAGATCTTACTCTTTCCGAGAGCATGTGCTAAACCGTTGCACCACCGGCGCTCGTTTTGCACTCCACTCTTTCTATGCTACAACGCGTTATCTGTCAACAGTAGGAAAGAGTAAGATGTGGGTTCAAATCCCGGCTGATGCAAACGTTTTTGCACACCACTCCACATCATTGGGTCTATACAACTATTTGCATGAATTATAATAGATTATAGCCAGTGATGTAGAGTGACTCCTTATTTTCTTCTTAACCCAGACACGAGGTGTTATGGCAATCATCATACGAACAGCCGATGTCAGCATTCTCGCCTTTTTCAGAGCCTCGAAAGGTCAAGTTGTTCCCAGCCGTTGTAAAGATTATTGTAACTCCTGTGTCTGGTTTAAGAAGAAAATAAGGATTTACTGAAGCATGCCGATGTTAGAAGATAGTTGGTCTTGGGTGATGTAGAGTTACGTGCAAAACTTTTGCGTCAGCCGGGGCTCGAACCCACATTTCGGCCTATCCGCGGACGCGTGCTCTAACCCGTTGCACTCGGACACCCGTGTAGACACCACTCTTTCTACGCTACAACGCGTCAAGCTGTTAGCAACCAACCGTCAACGGTTTGGCCTGGGTGATCGACATCGACACTGAACCCAGTCACGCTGACAAACAGAATTCTTTTTAGTTAAAAGCTTTTATGCAGTTGCGTATTAGTGCGGAAAGAGTGGTGCTGAAGCTGGCGCCGGCAGCGTAACGGGTTAGAGCACACGCCCCCCCCACCCCCTAGGTTGGGCTGAAATGCGGGTTCGAGTCCGGCTGACGCAAAAGTTTTGCACGTCACTCTGCATTATTGAGCTATTTATGACGTCATACAACCACTAAAAGCTTTTAAATTAAGAGAATTTCGAAACATACTGATTGAAAACCAAGTAAAGGAGAACACCACGTCATACAAATGAGTCCCATTGGTGCTGGAAAGCCTTTGGAACACGTTGACGGTGGAGCGCGTTTTTTCAAGAGCTTCGCGACCCGCGCTCTTACAACATTCGATTTTTTACAGTTACAAGTCTTTTTTCCAACTCTTTATCATGGCATGATTTGATTTTTGCATGGACTTATATATAATATATATGCATATATCGATTATCAACTGATATCGAACATTAAGAGCGCATATGGCGCAGTGGTTAGAAGGTGCTCTGCGTCGCACACGAGGTCATTGGTTCGACCTCGCGCTCATGGCTCACCAAGCCATCCATTCCTCCGGGGTCGGTAAATGGTACACAGAACAGGTCTCAGACTTGTCTGGAGGATAAGCAGCACTGACTCGAGTACAGCGGGAGGCCACCGCGAGTCATTCTGAAGGCCAGATATGCATTCAATCACCTCAGATGAAGTTAAAAATTGAAGACGAATGCATGGCGCATCCATCAGGGATTGATCAAACGCCGAGAGCTTTATCCCTTATTCTTTATCGAATATTGTTAAGTTATATGCAAAACTTGGACGTCAGCGCGGGACTCGAACCCGTATTCCACCCTTTTCAGGGGCGCGTGCTAACCATTGCACTACAAGCGCTCACTGTTGAAAACATAACGGTTCTTTTTTCTGATTTTTTCGAGCATCAATAGATCAAATTGCTGTAGCATGCTCTGTTTATCACGCAGGGCATGGAGAAGCTTGATGCTCGAGCACTTCGCTGAGAGAGAATGATTCGTTGAGGCGAATTGAATAGTTACGATTTTAGTACATATGTAGATGCCCCGATGGTCCCGTTTCTTCACGAAAGGCATAGAAGAAAGATATGATGCTCAGCGAATCCCTAGAGTGAAGAGGAGCCACTGGGCTACTCTTGCCATGCGATAATAGAGAAAAATAGTATCGAAATTGTTATTTAACCGCTTTTTGCGGTGGTATGGTTAGATTAATACTAAGGGATGGTTTCAGACAATGCAGAGAGCTAATGGAATACATACAAGCCGGTTTGAGAACATTTTTTGATGAGAGTGATGTGCAAAACTTTCGCATCAGACGGGACTCGAACCCGCATCTCACTCTATCCGGAAACGCGTGCTCTATCCGTTACACTACTGACGCCCATTTTGCACATCACTCTTTCTACACATGCGCACCGATCTGTCAGCCGCCAGCCGTCGACGGCCTGGCCCGGGTGGCGGTCTCGACATGGAAGTGGTGATGGTGTCCGCTCGAGTCACTCTACGATCAAGCGGGACGACTGGGATACAGGTGATACGGTAGATGTAGATGTATTACCATATCAAAACTGCTAATTCTATTTAACACATTGGTGACGACATAGGCCATGTATGGACTCGTGCGAGTCGTAAATAGTTAGGCGCTAAGTCACATACTACACTTTTTCGAATGTTTATTTTGTCGCAGCCAGCTTTTCTGCTACCACTTGTTCTAATCAATCAATAATTTGATAAAAGATTGTTTTAGTAGGCGCCGACAAGGTCAAAGTTTTTTTATGACTGGAAATTCAGAAAAAGTGCCTATTCGGACGAACGATATCTCCTCTGATTCGAATCCTAGGTATATAGCGGAATCCCAAGACCGACTATCTATTAACCTCGGCATAGTGAGAATAAATGAGTATTTCTTCTATTTAGCCGTCGAGTGTTATTGATACTATTGATGAATATTAGCGAAGCATACAACAATACAGTTAGAAATGCAGCATGAGTATTACAGAAATCCTAGTGGCTACAGTTACAGCGAGTCGCCTTCGTGAGAGCCTGGAAAGATCACATTAATCCACAATCCACCGAGCCAAAACCTCCATAACCCTAGCAGAAAAGGATCATAAGGGGGTTAAAGGGTTCAGGGTTAAAAGAGGTAAAGGGTTCTGCTGTGGTTATGGAGGTGTTGGCTTAGTGGATTGTGGATCAATGTGATCTTTCCAGGCTCTGACGAAGGCGACCCGCCGAAACGATAGCCACTCGAATATTGTATATATCCATGCTGCATTTACTGATTGTATCTCGCATATTGATGAAATACACCTCGGAACGGCTAAATAGAAGAAAATACTCATTTATGTAGCGGAATGTCTACCGTAATCGCACACTGAAGTTCAGAACTGAGAGATATCTCGTCTGCAAGTGGATAGCAACACGATTCGTAATCTTCACTGTGCATTCACAAAGGAAGTGTTTTCTAGAATTTTTCTACACGACGCGTCTTCGAATCTATTAAGAGGTTACAGTACTTGCATTCAGTTCGTTTCCTCGCACCCATCATCCTTGACGGTCTTCGAACGCTATATGCGGCATGCCTGCTCTCTAAGTATTGTCGTACTCTTCATGAATATCGTCGGATACGAATTTGGATGATCTTCCCTGGGGTCTGGAGCTAGCCGTTCCCACTTGTATTGGAGGGGGCTAGCTGACCTCAAACGAGTTATACACCAATTTCTCCAGTGAGATGGAAGGCTTTGTGTGCCCGATTCGCTGTCCAACGAAGCAGTACCGTACTTGCGATGGATGGGAATCTTCCTGCTACGCTCGCCATTTCTTCCATAGCAAGCGTAATTTCAATCTTGATCTTGAAATCACTCCTAGATGTTCTAGACGTTGTACTCTATGACATTTACTAGGGAACCTACAATTTCTGAAGTTGATAGAGACCTTTTGATCACCGCATAATGAATAAAACTTTCAGAATGCATGTTTTCTACACAAACTTTGCATAGAAATGTGGCTATTAAAATCATTCAACATTTGCCCTTCGCAGTCATTACTTACAATTTTACACTGTGTAACTTCTGCACTTAACATGTGACTAAACAGTCTGAAAAAATAGATTGAAAATCAATCTCAAATGGACTTGCGTCTTGAATCGACAAAAGTAGATCTGTACTTTCTGTTTGCCATCATGGTACTTGCTATATGCGACGTATTGATGGTATGCCACTTCTTATTCATCAGTACAGACGTTTCTTCCGAGTGTGTAGATACTAATTTCTGTTCAGAAGTTGGACTAAGTGACTGTTTTACTGTTCTTGAATTGTACTCACTGTTTCATCAACGTTGTGTGCGACGCAAAGCACCTCTAACCACTGCGCCAATTGTGCTTCTTTTATAGAGAAGAACATATAGACTTTGTTCTCATCGTACGCGTCATGAAGCTGCTTCGTTCCTGTGCCACGCAATCCAGAGAAGATTTGGGAAGTATGAGCCGACATTCATCACGTTCAAAAACCACAAAAGTTGCTATGCTCGCTAGTATGTGAAAAATTGGCGGCTTGAACACATGACACGATCAAACGACAAGTGGCGAACAAGAGCCGCTAGTGACTGGATCTCACGAAATGACAATCCAAGCACGAACCAAGTAGATCACTGATCGATGATTCATAGCTCCTCAAGAGAACTTTAGAGGAATATAAGATGATTAGAGAGTCCCCAGGGGGAAGGTGCACCCGATGAACGACTCTTGTGTGAGACAGCAAAAAATGGGACTCTTCTTACGCCCATCGAGCCACTTTGTGATCACCAAAAGGACAGGTGGTACGTTACAGATGATTCTCTTATGACGTGTCACCCCACATTGGCAACCTTCACAGTGTATATCCTAAACAATATCATCTATAACTTCTGTGTAGATATTGTGCTTGCAATAATCAAATCCGACCACTAATCATCTCTATTTGATTAAAAAAAATCTTTTTATCTAACCGATTTTAGCGGTGGTATGAACTTTCAAATATACCCTTTTATGTAGAATGATGTGCAAACTTTTTGCATCAGGCGGGACTCGAACCCACATCCCACTCTATCCGGAAGCGCTTGATCTAACCCGTTGCACTACTGATCCCCACTTTGCACATCACTTTTTCTACGCTACAGTATATCTATCAGTCAATCGTCGTCTATCTATCTATCTATCTATCTATCTACTATCTCTATCTATCTATTTTCTTATCAAGTAAGGCGTTGATTTAATCCGTCATTGGCGAGTAATGGTTAATCTTAAAAGGATAAAAGAATAAAGCTCTCGGCGTTGATCAATCCCTGAGGGATGCGCCATGCATTCGACTTCAATTTTTAACTTCATTTGAGGTGATTGAATGCCTATCTGTCCTTTACAATGACTCGCGGTAGCTTCCCGCTGGACCGAGTCAGTGCTGCTTATCCTCCCAGACAAGTCTGAGATCTGTCTGGTACCAATTTACCGACCCCGAAGGGATGGATGACTTGGTAAGCCATGAGCGCGAGATCGAACCATTGACCTCGTGTGCGACGCAGAGCACCTCTAACCACTGCGCCACATGCGCTCTATGGTTAATCTTAGGGTTTAGAAATGATTGGCAGTTTTTACAATAAGTACAAATCTTGTGGTACGTTTAATACACTTCACATAAGACTTTGTTATACACGTAGCAATTTTTTGCATGGAATATATCTTTGCTCTTTGCTTCGAATTGGTTAGCAGCTTTTAAGGCGATTATTGAGCAGAGTAAACAGAATTTTTATCTCCAAATCGACTGCATTCAGTGCGAAACACCTTAACATGTTGTAGTGCAGCGTCGGTGGTGCAACGGTTAGCATACGCTCCCGGAAAAGTGAGATCTGGGTTCGAATCCCGACTGCGCAAATGTTTTTGCACAGCACTCCACATTATTGGGTAACTTTACATATTACTTTTTTTCGCAACCACATTTTGTGCTCTGAAACTTTGATAGCATTTCTGATCATCAAATAAAGCGCCTCCTTCCGAACATTCCTTTGATTTCATTTCTGAAATGACTAAACGATACCAAAGAAAGGTATCAAAATACGGAGACTGAGGATTAGACCAGTGATTTTTTGGGAACAAAGGGGCGTTCGTTTACTAAAAAATACCTCTACAGAAGTCTCTTTAGCGATATTCCAACATCAGGAACGATAATGTCCCCTTAAAGCTCTGTTTATTAAGTAAGCAGTACATGCGTATTGCAGCGCGCACCATTCTCCTATGCAGCCCGAACGGCGCGAACATTCGCGCCGTTTTCGGTACACGCGGTACCGAAAGTGTTAGCATCGCTGTTTCAGAGTGTCGTTCATCGAGTTCACATATGGTGACAGACGTCTGTTGGAAAATGGCCGATGTTTGGTGTTTTCGCAACCGATCTTAGATCAGACATCATCGTCCGTCGCACGTAAGCCCTCACTCAAATTTTGATCTCTGGTCTCTCTTGATCTCTGGTATTACTAATCCCAGCCGCTTGAACCCAGAAAACTCTTCGTCCTTCTCCTCGTCGCCCAACGATCGCTAAAACGTTCAAATACTGGCTTCGAGTTTCTACCATAGATGCTGATAAATATGTAATGGCTAGTATATTTGATATATCATATCTTTCGCTTCGAGTGTTTTCTTAAGACACACAGCTCAAATTTCAATATGCCTGGTAATATATTTTTTGAGCCACGCATGTCAGTGGTCTATCAGTCGAGTGCACAACGCTCTAGAGTTCGGTGATAATTCACTGGACATAGAGTGTAAAACGTTCGTCGTCGCTAACTCTTAGTGTGGGGACTGGAGCACCCACACAGGATTGGCAAAAGACGGGAAAGGGTAACTGCCCGACTGACGAGATCGCAAGATCGAAACAAGTGTACGAGCTCTATAAGTCAGCCCTCTTTGATAGACCACTGACATGCGTGGCTCAAAAAATAATTACCAGGCATGTGTAATGGTAGTCGCTGTTTTTTATGCGTTAGACAACTAAAGAAATTTACAATGTCACACAGGGCCTGCCAGTGTATCAAGTCGGTGCTGCTATCCTCCTCTCCGATAAATGTGATATTAACTCGCCGATCACCGGAGTAATGGAGGCCTCGGTAGACTTTGGACAACGCGGGATCGAACCATCCACTATTGATTTGTCGACCACGTGTGTGTCGCAATGCATGTCTAACCACTGGACCACAGGTGTCCATGGACAGGTGTGCCGGAGTCGCCTCGAGGATGCCCTGGAAAAAGTCGGATGTATCGGCGCATACCGCAGGGTTCGCTGGCCGTAGGTGGTCTCCTTCATCGATTGTGGTGCACCTTTTGATCTTTTTCTAGAGATCCTCTTTTTATTTCGTCTCTCGAGTCTTTCAAATTTTCCCAAGTGATTTTTTGTCACCGAATTTAGGGCCCTACATTTTGTAATGTGGGTGTTTATTTCTGATCATCCTCGAGAGGTGTCTAGAGCGCTATGTGTCGATAAGGGAAGCCTCAAGGCACATCGTTTTCGAGATCTCGAGGACCCAAACACTTGTTAATAATCTAGTCCGTCAGTATCTATTCAGATGATGGAGCTTGAGGGTCCGACCGATGGCGTGCCAATTCTGATTCGTTTTCTATTCGTATTTACCTCTTACACGATCTATGTGCTATTTCGACGGCTTCCGATCATTCTCTTGCCTCAAATCCAGAAAGAAATTCACCTCAGCCGTGAGGAACTCGGTAAGTCAGATTCCACATACTTCTGTTTTTTTTTCTGCAGAACGAAATGGTTATACCTAAGAGATTTGAGTGATGAGCAAAAACGCGGCCCCAGGCGGGAATCGAACCAGCGTTTTATCCTATCCGGGGACGCGGACGGGAATTATGAAGCGAAATCGCATACCCGACCAAACCTGTCAAATGGCTGGTAGTTGATAGCTAACATTGAGATGTTGAAGAATGAGTGGTCGGGCAGACGTGCCTCTGGTGCGTAGTGGTAGAGCACGCGTCCCCGGATAGGATGAAACGCGGGTTCGATTCCGCCTGAGGCCGCGTTTGTGCTCACCACTCAATTCTCTTAGGTACATAGAAAACATCATACCAATGCGAAATGCATTAAAATACTGCTAATTCCGAAGAAATGAATTCTTCTTTCTAGTGACTACTCAATAGTCACTATGTGGTAGGGCATTGTTCTGGAAGCAGTATAAAATTCTATTCCCTTCGTAGTAGTTTTGAGAGGCAGTTTAACACGTTGGGAACCGTACGATATATTCATGTGCTATGGTCAATTAGCGCGCCAGGAATTTCTACGGCGCATGCACAAGAAATGCACATGTGGAAATTATCTGGTAAATTTATGTTTGAAAGTACCATCACTACATAATGATGAATATCACGACAGAAACTGCTGAATAGTGACGATGAAAATCCAGAATTTATTGGGAGGCTGCCATATTGAGATTGTAGCGCCCCGCTCTCAACCCGCACGCCTGCAATCGCAGCAACTCAACGCGGTTCCCAACGTGTTAGTCCTCGATCAAACGGGTTTAGTGCTAAAGTTAGGGGAAGAATCTGTTCTAAAATCACAATAATGGTGGTTTCAATGTATTCACTACGGAAAGGTCGCCATCCGTAACGTCGTAGGTTTTGTTCATTCCATTATTCGCTGCTGTTTGTGCGCTTTTGTGTGCGGTAAATTTTGTTGCGAGCGTTCCAGTGATCTAGAAAATCATACTTATCCCTCAGTTGAAATGGCCCCTTGTAGCCATGACGTTGTTAGGAAACGACCTGATTGGAACATTTAATCGTTCGATTAGTTATTTTTGTAAAAGTCCATCTCGTCGACAGTTTTTGAAGTTCGCTATACAGTCAGTTTAGTCTCTAAGAATGTTTAGAGCTTTAGAGGCGTTATTAGTCAGAGCCATTTGTACGTTTCGGCGGTGTAGCCCGCTTCATCAGTGGCCCACGCCTCACACGGAACCCTACTTTATAGCAGCGATGGGATGACGGAGACGGATGGATGAGGTGCTATCACCATACATAACGTCTCCCCATCCCTGCTATAAAAAGGGGTTTAACCTCTAAGGGACGGCGTGTACCAGATGAGGTACACGATTGTTTGGAGACCTTTCTCAGCGGACAAAATCTTTCTCTTAGCCACTCAATTCATAGTCATTCGAAAGCTTAAATCTCTGCGATTTTAACAATAGGTTCGATTTTTGAAGAAGCTTTTTTATTAAGTTGTAGCAGCGATAATAAATATTATTTTTCACACTCAGTTTGTTTTATTTGCTTGGCTGGCGCTTCGATATGGCTCTTCGCCAAACTCTTACTAGCCATTCGATAGCACAAATCTCGAGGAATTCTGATGCTGTATCGTTTTTCAAAAGGTTATCATAGAACCGCTGTAAGAGCGAGAAGAAGATAAGAATTCGTACTCAAGGTTTTTATCGTACAGAAAGGTTATTTAAGCGCGAAAAGCATATGTCCAGGTGGAGAAAATCATGGAGTATCGGAGTAGCACAAGAATCTCGGGATTCGCTTTCAAAATGGAGGAGAAACCCGTAAATGAATGACGAAAATCGCGCACCTCTGTGAGTTGCGCTGTGCGATCGATCGATCAGCTGCCGGCCCTAAAAGGTTTATGTGGGGCGTGGGCCGCTGATGAAGCGGACGACACCGCCGATACGTATGCATTGGCTGTGACGTCACAACCTCGAGAGGGCTCTAAATTTCTCACAGACTATATTTACTCTTGTATTTTATTTGTCTTTTATTTGGGATACTCACCGAGATTTATTGCATCGAGCCCATCTGTCTAGTGTGACGTCATCTCTCTCTGCTTCTTCTGCTTCTCTCTGTCTCCTCATCTCGTCGTCTAGAGGTTATTGTTCTCTTTTTATGTTAATTTTATAGAAATAAAAAGATTTAACGACTTTTATCAGCGTATTAGAGAGAGGGATGAATTGCCTATGACGTGCTTTTTTTCTATTTTATTAGAAAGTCAGGTGGTGTTCAGATCGATGATAATGTGGAACACTGAGCTGAACTTCTCGTGTACTTTGTATCATCGCCCAACTGCATTCGTATCGTTTGCTGTCTGATAAGTTTTGTCGTCTCGTTTTTGTGTATAAGGTCTGAAGTTCATTCTTTTTCCATGCCTTTTTTCATACCTTCAGAGGTATTGAGTTGGCGAGAAAATTTCCGCATTTTCCCGGTTTTGTTGGTTCTTTTTCACGCCTTTGAGTTCCTGTTTCCACCATCGTTTAGAGCAGTTTTTTGCGGTTATTTTGATATATAAAGGATAAAGCTCTCGTCGTTGATCAGTCCCTGAGGGATGCGCCATGCATTCAACTTCAATTTTTTAACTTCGTTGGGAGGTGATTGAATGCATGTCTGGCCTTTACAATCACCCGCGGTGGTCTCCCGCTGAACCGAGTCAGTGCTGCTTTCCTCCCAGACAAGTCTGAGACCAGTCCGGTACCAATTTACCGACCTCGGAGGGATGGATAGCTTGGTGAGCCATGATCGCGAGATCGAACCATTGACCTCGTGTGCGACGCAGTGCACCTCCAACCACTGCGCCACATACGCTCTTAGTAATTTTGATATATAACTCTTATATGTTTGATCGGAGATGGAATTTACCCTAGAGCAAAAGCGATTGTTGATGGTAGTCACGAGTGTCGTTTGAGCTCAAGTGCTGCTCTCGACTTTCCGCCAGATTAGCGAGGCTTGGAGTGACGGAACAGTTAATTTCCTCTGAGAGACCGGCTCCTTCCATCGAGCTTGAAATCTCCATTTTCAGCCTTGAATCCATTGAAACGATCAAAACCCGCCGTTCTTCCAACTGTTCCGTCACACCAGGCCTCGTAAATCCCTCCGGCGGAAAGTCTCGGCAGCTCTTGAGCTCAAACGATACTCGCTTAGCCCCGAGAGTTGAGTTGTTTTCGCTCTTGGGTTAATCCCATTTTGAAAGCCGATATATAAGTGCTATATATCGGAAAAAAAATAGTCGCAGGAAGCTGCTTTAAACGATAGTAAAAGCAGAACTCAAATGCTTGAAAAATGGTGGTCAAGAAAGACGAAAAAGTCCGGGAAAATTCTTACCCACCTTATGGGGTTTTTGCACTTTTCTTCGTATTTCGATCTGAATTTATGTTGTAATATTTATATATTTAAAAGTAGAACTTTGTCTATTACACGACGCTTTTTGTCAGACTTGAAAGGGTTTGGCTGTAACCATAGTTTTCTGTCTGAAAGTATTATAAATAGGGTTCATCCGACTGATAGTTCTGTTCTAGTCATTCCAGTATAATGTTGACTCAAACCTTCCATCTGGGTTAGAAAGCCTCTCTTCTGTCTTGATCTGACTTGTACATTTTTGTTTGTTTCTCACGTCCAATGTTCTCATTTAATTAGCGTATGATTTGAATGCATATCGATTGAGCTGCCAATTCAGTGTGTCGGGCCAGTGAATATCTGCGGTGTAATGCTGTATTGCTCGAGTGTTTTTCTTAAGGAACGATGTTACTTGACTTCTAGCCTGATCGATCACCTGCTAAATAAATTAGAAACGTCACCTGCGCCATGGTCGGCTACAACCCGGAACCCATAAATGGAACGGAATTGTCTTCGACAGAGCACAGGTCGGCGATACTCTTTTTTCCTTAAGTATCTCAGGTTCTAAATTCTTTTTATTTTGACTGCCACTTGCAGTGGTATGATGTTATAGTATGACCCAATATGTGGAGTGCTGTGCAAAAACGTTTGCGTCAGCCGGGATTCGAACCCAGATCTCACTCTTTCCGGGAGCGTATGTATATAGTGCAACGGTTAGTATACGCACCCGAAAAGAGTGAGATCTGGGTTCGAATCCCGGCTGACGCAAACGTTTTTGCACAGCACTCCACATATTGGGTATATCTCAGGTTCTTTTCTTTTATCCGAGAGCAACCTGGACAAGAACTTTTCATAAGAGTGTTAGTAATTACTCCAGGGCTTACTTTGGCTAGCGCGATACGTACTCTTTTCTTCTCTCGAAAAGACCCTTTTTAGCGCCTCGGCAAGAGGTAAGCTTTTGCGTTTCACGATCGATGTTTTTCTCACAAGACAGCGCTCTTTCTTTGGACTATCAGTAATCATTCGATAGCATAGTTTTCAAGATTCCAACGCTCTGCTTATCTTCTGGAAAGACCGTTTCTCTGTAGTGTAAAAGGAGAACTAAGACCAAGTTTCACATCTTTCGCGGGTTCGTCTATTGGCTAATCCAGGGTGGGGGTATCCCACCTGACAGATAATTCGATAGGGATAGGGATAAATTCGATGCAGCAACCCGCCACGGTCGATCGGTAGGGCTTATGTGAAGTGCAGTCTTTGTCATCTATGATGAATTTCTTCTCCACTTCGAAAGAAACTTCGGATCAAGCGTATGACTCTGATACTTAAAGATTTTCTCTACACCTTGATGTGCTTTTCATGCTTTCAGCAAAGTAGGAGTAGGATTGTGCGTTCGATGTAAAACATCAGACTATTTTGAACTTTACGGCGTAACAAAAAGGTGTTTTGAAAAACCAGCTATGTACCACGCTAGTCAGAGATTAAAGCTTTCGATTGAATACCAGCACTCTTGTGAAAAATTCTTGTCCAGCGTATGGGGTCGAATATTTATTTGTTCCCGGGTAACGGCGAATTTCAAGTATTTCACATTACATTCTCTTGATAGCTTGAAATTTCTATAGCTTTTCTAAAATCACTTTTATTTGAAAGCTATTTTGAGTGCTTCAGTGGAGCTGGGCTGGCAAGTGGTGTAGCCACTCGAACGATCATCCAACCTTTGGACGTTTGAAAATACGCTTTCAGCTTCAGGAGGAGCCTATTCATGGCCAAAGTTCCGGAAAATACAAGGTTCTGTCATCACTATATCGCAAGATTCTCACGATTCTTAATCAAATTGTTGAGCTATACCATAACGACAATATACATATCATATATATATATATATATATATATATATATATTTAGGGTATGCTGCAGTCGATACGATTGATAACTCAAGAAGAAGGTGTACGTTCTTTCTGGAAGGGTCATGTGCCTGCTCAAGGATTGTCTGCCATCTACGGATTAGTGCAGTTCTCGTCGTTTGAGTTTCTATCAAAAGAGGTGCGTGATGGAACATGAAAGAGCACAATTGAAGAATTCCACTGGGCTCGCTGATAATCAGAGATCAATGGGAATTACACAGGTTGGTCGTCTTTTACCTGGAAGTCGACAGTCTGTGCGATCGTCTTGCGATTTCGTCTGTGGTGCTTTATCTGGTTGTGTAGCTATGACTGCGGCAATGCCTCTTGATGTGATTCGAACAAGACTAGTTGCACAGTCGAGCAAAGCTGTTTACACGGGTAAGTCCTTGTTTTTTCGGCGAGTTCCATTCTCGATTTGGACAGTTTTCAGGGACAATGCATGCCTTTGTTCATATCTGGCATAAGGAGGGTCTCGTCGGGTACTTTCGTGGATGGATACCGAGTCTGGCGCAAATCGCTCCTTTCACAGGCTTACAATTCACTCTGTACAATTGCTTCATTGGTGTATGGCCACGGTTAATCACTATCCACCACGAATCTACGGGTTCACTTGTATGCGGCGCACCTTGCTGGAGCCGTAGCGAAGACGGTAATTTTTCGGTGATCTCCACTAATTCTTTTCATAGTTACTTACACCTCTCTGTTTCTGTACAGGTGCTGTATCCATTAGACATGGTTCGTCACCGTCTGCAAATGAATGGCTTTGAACGGAAAGGTTTTGGACGAACTTCGGACTACCAAAGTGGCATGTTGCGAACGATAGTGATGGTGGTGCGACAAGAAACCGTCTATGGCCTGTTCAAGGGTCTATGGCCAAGCCAAATCAAAGCCGCTGCCAATTCCGGATGTGCTTTTCTTTTCTACGAGCTGTTCTGCGATCTACTAAGAGCGAGAAAGAAGGACGACGGTTTCTAAGAACTCTGACTCAATTGTCAATCGTACAGGTTTCGTATTACGGCTGTATTTTTAGGTGTGATTGTGATTAATATCAGTATATGTCCGTATATCTATTAGGTGATTTTTTGCTGCTGAAGTTTGCAGCATTAGTGGAATAGTTTGTCCTAGGGTTTTAGTGCTCATACCCTTTAGTATTTGTCTTATTTTCCTAAGTACCGTTGAAGATTCATAAAGATGAGGTGCCCATATTTGTGATTTTCTTTAATTGCTTATATTGTAGATATTTTATATACATTTTTACCTTCTTTGTTGTTGCTGCCACTAGTCATAATTGTAGAAATCAGTCAAAGTAAATGTGCTGCTCCACATGATTCGCCAAATAAATCATCGTAATTCATTCACATTCAGTTCTACTCAGAAAATATACCGTATTTGTTCTAGGTTTACCGCGATATGAGACGACTTAAATAATCTGATTCTACATAGGTCTGCTCGTGTCGGCTCAAGCGCTTTGTTTTACCTTATCGAAGCTTGTGTTTGGCATCGCTTCGGATCGATGGTCTTCAGTTCGGATCCTATCAGTTGGCCTTGCCGTAATCGCGGTATCGTCAGTGTGTTTCGGTATAGTTCTTTCGAATTTTGTTTCCTTATCATTCGCTTCTCTTTTTTTGAACATCTGCGTTTTCAGTATGCCTGTAATCGTTTTTGAGCCACGCATATCAGTGGTCTGTGAAACAGGGCTGACTTATAGAGCCCGATATACTCGGGCTTTCAGACTCTTTGACAGACCACTGATATGCGTGGCTCAAAAATGATTACCAGGCATATCGAAATTTGGGCTGTGGTCTCAAGGAAACACTCGAAACGAAAGCTGCGTTTTTGTTTGCCTTGATAGCGCGGATAATTCGTATTTCTAATGATTATTTTGAGCCATGCATGTGATCTGCTATGAGCACATGTACACTTACAGTACAGTAGACGTGTTTCGGCCTTGCCAACCTCGTCAGTTGCTCAGTGTCTTTCGGCTTAGTCAATCCCTTTTGGGGAACCCAACCCTCTTTCATAGAGGGGACGCAGACGTACTGTTCACATTTGCCATCAAGTGAAGGAAACCACTAAATGGACAATGTTGTACACTCGATTGCTCCTGCCTTGTATTTATGAAATATAATACCGTTTATTTGAGTGTTTGCTTAACAGACCACATGCATGGCTCAAAAATAAGTATCAGGCATATTGAAATTTGAGCGGAAAACACCCGGAACGAATGGTATAACCAGTTCATAACTCGTTGTTACTTGACGATTGCAAACGTCAAAAGATTGTAAAGGCTCGAACGATAAATAATCTTCTTCCGAACAAACCTCATCGGAGAGCGTTGTGGCTGAGTGGGGCCGAACTCCCAGATTCTCTGTAGGTCAGCAACGAACGCCCTATGGAAACGCCACAGCCAGGTTATCCTCGAGATTGTAACACAAGAACCGCTCAACCAATATTCTACTAAGAATAAGTCGAAAAAACGATTGCATAGTAGAAGTAGTAGTATCTGCAAAGTGAAAAAACATACTGTGAAGATAGATAGTAAAGTGCCAAGAAGAATAATGTCCTTCAGGTTTCGCCTTGTCATACGCTCAGATATTTCTCTCCCTGATCTTTGCTGGTAGTGTGCAAGGAGCATCATGGGTCCCGGCCACGAAACTTGTTGCAAGGGTTTGTTTTAGGTTAGCAATTCAAATTTATCCCTTTTAGATTAGCTTATTTTTAGTGGTATATTGGTCGTGCTTATGGCACAATGTTCTCGATTCTTGGCTGCGGCAGCGCTATGGCAGGACTGTTGATTCCTTTCGTGGAGATGTACTATTGGCGCTCATTCTTGATGTACATGGGTATGTGTTTGCTCATAGAAGTTATTCTGACATATCGGTATCCTTTTTCTTCGAATCGAATTGTTTAGGCTTTCATTATTATTTGAGTCAACTTGTCATGTGGTCTGGTAAAGACTCTTGTACAGCCCGATACACGTGTTTCGTCCTTACAGACTCGTCAGTCGGGCAGAACCCGTCGTCTTTCGATATTTTTATTGCAACACTCTATGTTACGTGAAAGTCTCACTTGAACATAGAGTGTAAAGACGTTTGTCTTTGAGGACTCTCTGTAAGGAAATAGAGCTCCTGAGAGAACTGACTATAATGACATTGAAAGACGACGGGTTCTGCCCAACTAACGAGTCTGTAAGACGAAAACACGTGTCTCGGGCTGTACAAGAGCCCTTACCAGACCACATGACATGTTGGCTCAAATAATGATGAAGGATATATCGAAATTTGAGCGTGGTCCTAAGAAAGCACTGGAAATAAAGGTATAATATGTTTTAGGTTTATCAATTTCACATTCTCTGTCATTCAATGTGTTGTTCTCCGTGAAGATGATATGCAATCTGTACAGGTTAAAAATAGTGGAACTGTGACAAAGATGTTTACTTTGCATACTCACCGGCAATATGGAATGTGTCGATAATGTACCTATTTTCTATAGAGGTGAGTTTTTTCCCATACGAGAATTTTCATTTCTTCTGTTAGACGGGATAAATGAATAGCAGACCCTTTTCGATGGGCACAAACTTCTCATAAGAGTCTTAGTAATCATTCGAAAGCTTAAATCTCTGGCTACTGCGCTACCTAGCCGTTTCTTGAAGAAACTTTTCTAGAATGGTGTAACAGAAAGAAAACATTTGTGTTTCACACACGCATATTTCTCGCAGGACAGAACTCTTTTCTCAGATCATACACACCCAATCGATAACGTATGTTTCGACGATTCCAACGCTTGATGGTTTCATCGAAAGACCGTTTCACTGCAGTGTATCAGGGAGAATAAGGTCAAGTCTCACATATGCGGCGCATTTGTTTG